TCCGCTGTTGAGCCTTGTCCAGAGGCGGCATGATCCAGCCCTGTTTTGGTGAAAAAGGCCGTTAAGGAACGGTCGTTTCGCTTGACGAAACTGGTCAACCTTTCTGAAGTCTCGAGGGCGCCAAGACGTTTCACCGTCAGCAGACACTCCGCCTCAGAGGCAGCACAGACAGTTGGCCGATGCGTCGTGGCGTCTGTCATGGCGACGAATGTGGCCGAGTTGAGAGGGTGGGCCGAGGTCAGCCGGACGGTGTGGTCGGTCAGCTCGACGAGGTGACGAAGAAGAGCAAACAGACTGGCTTCTTCTGGACGGCCGTGCAACTGGGGCCGACACAAAATAAACGGAAAGAAAGAGACAGAGAAACAATCAGCAGACGGACAGAATGTGAGAGAACAGATAAGAAAGGTACCATCTGCTTGAGGCATGATAAGTGCATATATTTGCTGAAAGTCGGATAGTCTGTTGAAATGTGGAAAAATGAATAGTCACACAATCATTTTGGTAAGCCTACTCACGACCAAACTGGCATTAATTGGTGAAATGATTAGGCATTTAAACTATCCGAAATACTTACATTGAAAATAAGCCAGGGTCGCATATCGTAAGGGTGGAGTGGGGAAATAATTTTGAAAAATCATATGGGCAAAACAAACTGTAATAAAATTAACTTTCAATTTTGTTATAATTAAGTTCCGTGAATATTCGCAAAGTGTACTTGGAAAATAGTCAGCCTTCATCGAATAACATGAGGATGAGACGAGAGATGAACATTCACTAAAGCAAAAGTAGCCCTACTCACAATGACATTAATTTGCATTATTGGTACAAATTGGTTAAGAGAATATATGCAATTAGGGAATAATATCTCAGTCTACATCGTATAGCATAATGAAATAATTTTATTTTTCGAATTAAGTATTGTCTTCGTGACTACCAGTAAATCAGTAGTATGAGATGTATTTACCCAATTTCGTTTAAGGTAATGAAGGACTGGTAGAAGGAGAAATTTCCTACAATGATATGAGTTGAGCTGACGTTTACATTGAATTTCATATGGGCAAAACAAATTGTAATGAAAGTGACTGTCGATTTTGTTATAATTAAGTTCCGTGAATATTCGCAAAGTATATTTAGAAAATTGTCAGCCTTCGCAACGATCAGCCGGGAGATGAACATTCACTAAAGCATAAGTAGCCCTACTCACGATGACATTAATTTGCATTATTGGTACAAATTGGTTAA